TCTATGTGCCAAGTTTCATTAAAATCCAATGAGTGGTTCTTGAGATATCTGTGGAACACACACAGACACACACACACACACACAGACTAACTGCAAAGACTCCTTTTTTTTGTGCTCCGCACACGGGAGTCAATAAAATAGATCTATACTGTTTTTTTAAATTGCCTCATCTTTACAGCTCAAAACTTAGTTTACCAAAATTTAGTCTTGTGCAAATGCAAATGACAGAATAACCTACATAATAATAAAAATTCGCGCATTCCTCGGTCATGTGTATTCCAACTAAATTGTAGGAATGTGTGCAACGGAGGCCATATTGGATTTCTGGGCGGTGTGGTCAATCCATTGCTATATTTCGAAAAGTAATTTCGGTAAAAGCAAAAGACACTCATGAAAATGAGTTTGTAAGATGTAACGCTATGACATAACATTGTCACCCTCATCATTCCATGAGCTATGAAAATATAATTTTGAACGACAATTTGGTTCTCAATTTACCTGCCCAGAAGCTTTCATCGTTAACTCGATTGCCCACGTTTAGAAAAGAACGGAAACGAAAAGAAGTCTGGGTAATATCACCTCGAACGTCAATGTTTGTTTGGTTACTGTTATGTCTTGGTTTAACTCTAATATATTGTATATTTAAACTTGGATAATATTACTAATAAAATTTTCAAATGTTACATTTGCATTAGGATACAATTTTGAGAAAATGTTCCCATTTGGCTGCCTCTGTTAAACTAAATGTTTTGAATGAGGATGAGGTCAAAGGTTCGCAAAACCACGTTAATGACTAATGTGATGCAAACGTTGGGCAATGAAAGAAAGCTATGAGCTCGTTGTGACTAAATACGATTTCCAAGGTGATGTAATTTCAGAAAAGTTGAATTAGCCCAAGCTATCAACGATTCAAAGTACATATGCATTATGAATGAAGTACTTGGGGAAACATGCGTAAATATTGTCGCTTGTGAGTTCTGTGGTACATGTATGTTACAATGACTGTACACCATTTCGTTTCGTTCACAGGACAGAATTTTGCTTATCTCTAGCTGTGAAGTTATGAACGTGCATGCTCTGCGAGGCTTATGCCCGTCGTCAGATTCTAACGCCCAGGCCAGGGTAAGTTCCTTCATGCTGGATTCTCAATAAATCACGATTTTGTTGATAATTTTATTTCAATAAATAACATCTGTTTGAAAGATTATTGATACAGATTTAGTGAACTGGTCCACAGGCGCTCGAAACGTTTCCTGGATAAT